ACCACTTTACCAACTGAACTATGCGACATAGGCTATCTATTTGTTTATCACTATTCAAGTGTTTTTGGATGATAGGAAAATTAAAAGAAATAATCATTTTTCATATTTTTGTTTCATCTCTTAGTCATTTTTCTCCCAATATTTCAAAAATGTGACTACCCATGCAAGTGACAACTTTTCAACTTGCGGAGAGTCAAAGCGTAGAAAAAAAGAAGTTTTTGAACTAGGTCCGCAAATACAGGGATCAAATATGTAAATTAGATACAGGTTCCTCCAGGAGGCGTTGAAACTAATTTACAAATTTGGTCCCCGCACTTGCAAATCTGGTTCAAAAACCTTTTTTTTACACCTTGCTGTTTCTGTAAGTTGAGGAGTTGTCACTTGAGTAGGTAATGATAGTTTTGAAATATTGAAAAAAAAGGACTAAAAATTAAAAACAAAGCCTAAAAATAACTATTTTTAATTAATTTTCTTAAATAATAAACATATTTATTTCATGTACATTTGACGTTTTAAAAGGTAATTAAGTTTTATTTTAAGGGTATACCAGTAAAATGTAGGTTTGTTTCATCTTGTTCCATGGGGTGGGGGTGGAATACGAATGTGCACTTCGTTTTAGTTTGTGGAAAAGTCATATAAAACATAATACAATGATCCATGTTTTATTTTGTTCAATATACCAACTGCAGCTTTAAAAACATTGTTATCGATGATGAAGCCCACAAGTATGGTACTGTGACGGGAAAAAAACCTTGAACTTTTCCTAATTTCTTTTGATATTTATCGTGATCTACTTTTTCAATCTTAGAAATTCTTGAAATAATGGGTTCTGAGGACCGGTTACAGAGAAGCTTGATCGAGCCATGAGTTTTTTCAGTCTGTACCAGGACCGTTTACATCAAGAGTAGTTACAAAAAGCATTTCAAGGACGGGAACTGATTTAGACCGACCCGACCCGACCCAGGACAGCCATTTTACCATTTGTAGGTGGAAAAATAGAATGAGCCAAAGTATTAAAACTATGATAGCCCGACTCTTTTATAGTGGGCCTATGAACACTATTGGGCCTCCAATAAATTATTGGGTTGTATTGATATCCAAATCCAAAAAAAATAAAATCAAAATGATATATAAAAATTGTATCAGTACAATACAATATGATACATCTTGATTGTATCTGTTTCAATTTGATTTTATGAATTTGTATGGTTTTAAGAAAACGAGAGAGTTTTATGTTGGTTATTTGTTTTATGGGGTATTTGTTATATTAGTGGGCTTAACGGTTATCTTGTGACTTGTATATGTTTATTAGTTTGTTATGGGTTATCTTTATGAGGTTCAAATGTATCAATAACTTGTATCTATAAATAATCTACTAGAAGAGTACTCACGCAATGCAACGAGACACATCTCGATTTTAATGTTATATTTTATTATTTGTCTATGTCGATTTTATAATACGATTTTATGTGTTTTTAAGAAAACAATAATGATTTTATTTATGAATAAAATATAAATTTGAAGATATCATAAAAATTTTAAAAAAAATATATATCAATGTTAATATCAAAATCAACTATTTAAAAGTTCTCATTTTTTATTTATTATAATTTAATTTAAATTTAATAACAAGATAATCTTTTTTTGCTTAATAATATAACATTTTATAAAAATAATGATTTTGGTTTAATAATATAACATTTTATAAAGATAATGATTCTGTTAGAATTCAATGATTATCCTAATTATATTTTAGAATTTTTATATTTAAAATGAAATGTTTATCTGCAGTTAGTTACACGAATTCAGATATGGAGTTTTAATAAGTTATACTTACGCATAATCTATTTGCAATTTTGAGTTTTAAGTAATATGAATTAATAAAAAATACTTTACGTATAAAAAGTGGTTTTTAAGAGTTTTTGTGAAATGCTTTATAATATAGTATAGATATTGTATTATAAAGTATTTGACAAAAATTCTTAAAACTCATTTTTATGCAAGAAGTGTTGTTTATTGACGGCTTGACGCATATTACAAGACTTATTTAACAAGTTTTGTAAAGTTCAATGACTTATTTAACAGGTTATAGAATGTCAAAAGATTTATTTGTTCCAAAAAATTGTCCAAGGACTTAATTGTTCTAAACAGTAAAGTCCATTGGGTTTTTTTGGACTTTTCCCTTGTTTAAATATCTAAAAACATAAGACATTTTTATTATACTGTATTGTATAAATCATATTATAAACCTGATTATATTTTAAAACTAATTATATAATATAAAAAGTCGAGTATTTCACGAGCTTTTCAAGTCGAGTATTGAGTAGTTCGAATGGAGTCGTTAATACGTCGAGTCGAGCTCGCGTTCGAGTCGAGTGTGGACGGAACTTTGACTGGGTCAATCTCGAGTAGCTTACGAATTGTCCTTTACACCTCTAATTGTAAATGGGCTGGTATTGTAGGAGGCCCAATATATCTAAAAAAGGCCCAATATGCTTATGAACCCCACTCAAATTACTTTTTTGCCACTTCGTTTAAATCACATTTGTCTATTTTTTCAAAAGAAAAAAGAATTGTAATAATTTTGAATTGATTGTTGATGAAAAATGGAAAAAAAAATTACGACGAAAACATTTTACATATTAAATTATTTAATCGAATCAACTAAATAGTTCTTAACAGTGATAAAAAAATATATACATAATTGATATAAGTAATGTAATTAGTGAACTCCAAATTTGTACGATTAATAAAATATCAGTAATAAATATATCGTTACATGATAATCATAGCAAGAATGAAAATCTGCCTAAAATTATTAAGAGAAAGATTCATGAAATATTGTATTGTTACGATGGGATCACCCTAGGCATGGCAAAGGGGCGGGGCGGGGCGGGGCAGGAGTTTGTAATCTCTGGGCTCGGCCCCGGTTCCTAGCGGGTATGAGAATTAGCATCCCGTCCGCGGTCAAACCCTATCAAATCTCGGTCAAACCCATGAAAGATATTCGTTAGTTTGAGTTTACCGAGGATCCGACCCTGGCCCTGGGACTTGTTTTAGCAGGGAATCCCCGTCCCTGTTTGGATCGGGTGAACCGAGTTTCCCACCAGGTCGGGGCAAATCACCATCCTCATATCATTCCATTATTTGTAATGGGATGAGTCAAAAGAGTATCTCTTACATGTTCTATAAAATAAATAATCAAAAGTTAAAAATTAAAAAAAAATTATTCCAACTTTAACAGATTATTTATTTTAAAGATTTCAATATTAATTAAATTATTAGAACTAGAAGGGTACTCGCACAATGTAGCGAGATACATCTCGATTTTAATGTTTCGTTTTTTTGTCTCAGTCGATGTTATGATATGATTTTATATAGTTTTGAGAAAGTGTAATGTTTTTATTTTAAAATAAAATATAAAGATAAAGATATGATAAAAAATTGGAAAAAAATATTGATATTACTATTAAAAATTTTCCTTTTTTGTTTATTTCTTTAATTTTTTTTTAATTTTTGGTTTAATAATATAATTATTTTATAAGGATAATAATTAAGTATTTTGCTAGAAGTTAATGTCTATCATAATTATATTTTAGATTTTTTATATTTAAAATAAGATATTTATTTTTTATTTAATTATATTTATCTGCAGTTAGTTATATGAAACTTTAATAAGTTGTATTTACGCACAACTTACTTGTAATCTTGAATTTTAAGTAATATGCATTAATAAACAGTAATTCATGCATAAAACGTGAGTTGTAAGATTTTTTGTCAAATACTTTATAATATAGTCTAATTATTATATAATTTTATTATTTCTATATATTTTAAAAAAACTTCACATAAAATAATAATAATTCAATCTCATTGGTAAGTTTTACATAATTCTCCTCACATTAAGTTCTACAGAATTTTTTAAATTCGAAGATTTTGTTTCTTGTTTTATCTGCTTTTAAGAGTAATATAAAGAAAATATATTTATTGAAATAAAACTAAGAGTAATATAAAGAAAATATATTTATTGAAATAAAACTAAGAGTAATATAAAGAAAATCCATTAGCTGACCCGAAAATCTAAAATAATAATATTAATTAGGATAAATTGCATGAAAGAGTAATGCATTTTAATTTGATTCCTATTTTGGGTAACATAGTTTCAATACTTTTATTTTGGTACCTAAGATGTAATTTTTTTTTGATTAACCTGGATATCCAACCCGCTATGCGAGCTGACTAATCCCAGGGCAACCACCTGCTTTGCAGATAGCCCGGAATCACCGCATTTGAACCTTCGTGGCTACAAGGGGATTTTTATTTCTCCTTGGATTTGAACCTGGGACCTCGAGGTACTTTTAACCTTTGGAGTAACATGTTGAAGCATTAACCGATTATAATGCTGATGTGGTATCTAACTTAGTATTATTTGTTGACGTGCTTAGACATGAATTTTTTTAATCTAAAATTAGTCTCCAACCGGTTATCCGGGTACTTAAATATTTAAAACTTTACATGTTAAATATCAAAATAGAAGTTTTAAAAATACATTACTCAAAATAAAATTCAAGTTAAATTATGTTATTTTTTCTGCAATTTATCCTATTAATTATGTTAAAAAGAGAGTTGATCAAAACCCTAGTAATCTAACACGTCATCAGCAAAACTTCATTAAGATTACAAATCCACCCCTTAAGTTTTAGTCAAAACCCTAAATTAACCTCAAATCTCTTCTTAAAAGACAATTATACCCTTGCCTCATTGGCCCTAACGATCACCGGCAATAACCGGTTTCCGGTCACCCGGTTCACAATAACAAAATACGTCAACAGGACCATCTCTACACCCTTGCTCTTCTCCCTTTTTCTTCTCTGGTACACACACACACTAGAAACCTGTGTTTATATATATATATATATATGAATATATACATATAGCTTTTTTATATCTATAGCCTCATACATACACACAACTATCTCTCTCTATATTCCATCTACAGATTGATAGATTCAGTATCTGCATTCAATCACAGAGTTTCTGGTCTCATATACACACAATCACGAAGACCAGAGAGTGTAGGTACTATACACGTATGTATGTCTGATTTTTGAAAGTTTCAATGGCGAATTTGAAGTAAAATTGAAGAAAATAGACGATCTTTTGGCTTTCAGAGAGTAAGTTTATGTATCGTCGATTAATTTTGTTTGTTTGCATTGTTAGATACTTTTCTTCACTTCAAGGTTTAATGCTAAATTTTGTTTTACAGAACGAGGAATTGTTGATGGTGATCTGTAGCGAGGGGTCAACTGTTATTCTTATATGCTGTTTTTAGATCGGTAATTTGGTTTTCTAGTTGGTTTTGATTGTTAATTTGAAGATTATGAGTGTTAGACTGTCAGGAAAGTTTGGTTATTGATTAATTTCGAATGAGTTGTTTCTAAATTCTTTTTAAAGGGATGAAGAGGTCTAGAGACGACGATGTTTCAGGGAGTGCTTCTCAACTTCAGCCGCCTATCATCTCTGGAGCGTAAGTCTCTTTTGGATTATAGTTGTCATCCTTTGTCTTCAGAGATACATTGTGTGGAAGAATGTTTGATTATGAGTCTATAACTCTATATGGTGGTTTTTGATGTTATTTTGAAAGAGTAAAAATTGTGATTAATAGTTGTTTTTTTTTTTTTTCAAATTTAATTTCTTAGTGGTCAAAAGTTTTTGCTATGTAATTTTTTCCTATGGTCATCTTGAAGTGTTGTGTTCATTAGTTATCTTCAAAATTTGCCACACGAGCAGGGTTAAAAGAAAAAGGTAAGATCTTTATCAATGCTTACTTTCTGAAGATATGTTTTCTATTTCTTTAAGTTTATGGTTCAATATGTGAGGTATGTCTGAATGTTGAATGAATGGTGTGATTTATTCATCTCATCTTCTTGAATGAAGCTCCGGGCAACCCCAAGTTATGGATGGAGGGGGCACACATAAGTTGACAACTAGTGATGCCCTTATGTATCTCAAGGATGTCAAAGACATGTTTCTTGACAGAAGGGACAGATATACGGAGTTTCTTGATGTAATGAAAGATTTTAAGGCACAAAGGTTTAGCTAAACCGTTGCTTTTCCCAATATTTTTGCTGTCACCGTGCGGAAACTTGTCATGATCAGTTATGATGCCCTTTTTTTTGTAGAATTGACACCACAGGTGTCATAGCAAGAGTGAAGGAACTATTCAAAGGGAACCGAAGGCTAATACTAGGTTTCAACACCTTCCTCCCGAAAGGATATGAAATCACCCTCTCAGACGAGGATGAGCCACATGCTAAGAAGCCTGTGGAGTTTGAAGAAGCCATTCAATTTGTAAACAAAATTAAGGTAATAACATCACAGGATAGTGTATAACGGCTTCTCTTTGGAAAATTTCTTTTAACAAACTATTTCTTTGCAGATGAGATTTCAAGGTGATGATCATGTGTACAAATCTTTTCTTGATATTTTGAATTTGTACAGAAAGGAAAACAAATCCATTAGCGAGGTCCACCAGGAGGTTTGCTATTTAAGACTATTGTATACTTGTCTCTTTCACATACTATTCCTTTGTGTTTGCATTTCATGATGGTGGTTCTAAATTTGTTCAATCAAATATCATCTTCTTTCAGGTTGCGACTCTTCTTCATAACCAGCCAGACCTGCTCAAGGAGTTCACTAATTTTTTACCTGATTCTTCAGCAGCAGCATCAAATCATTATGTTCATTCCAGTAGGAACCATAACCCTCGCCATGAAGATAGTAGCTCTCCCATTGGCACAATAAGACCTCTGCATTCTGAGAAGGTAATTTCTAATCCGATGGGTTAAGCTCTGATACAAAATTTCGTGGTCAAGCTAATATCAGTCTTTAAAGTGACTCACTAGTTGACTCATCTTTACTTGCCAAACTTTTACTCATATTAATTATCACAGATATTCATAACTGAAAACTTTCCTACATCATTGTTTTCAGTAAAAAATCCATCATAAGAAGCATATATCTTGCTTTTGTTTGTGAATAGATTTTTATTCATTTGCAGAAAGGTATTGCTTGTCATGCTGAACGTGACGTCAGTGTTGACATGTCGGATCCTTGTCATGAGGAAGGATCTATTAGACCTAACAAGGAGCATAGGAGGCATGGTGAGAAAGAAAAAGTGAGAAGGGAAGACAGAGAACACCATTCTCATAATAAGGATTTTGATCATCATGGGATGAATCGTTCTACCCACAAACGTAAATCTGCTAATGCCCTTGAGGACTCTGTTGCCGAACTATTTCATCAAGGTATCATCTAATTCACAATAACACTGAAACCACTTCAATACAATCTGCAATTGCTTACCTTGATACAGAATGTAGATGGTCTTGCGTTGTTTCAAATGGATTTCCTTGTAAGGGCCAATGTTTTATGCTCTTTTTTCTTTTGGTGGTTTTCTTCCTTTTTTATCTCAAACGAGGCAGTGCGCTCTGAGAGGTGTATGTTCTCATTAAAAAAATTCTTGGAATATTAATGCTAATATTTTGCAATTTTTGTAAAAATCCATCCTTGGCCAATTGATCTTCAATGGTACTTCATCATCATTTTGTCATTCATTGACTGATTGACAGAAGATAAATTTTAATACAAGATTTTAGTTTTTTCCTTTTGTATCAATAGCTGGAAAACCTGCCATTAATTTTAATTGTGAAAGCTTTCAGCAAGATGCTATGACAGGGAGAGCATCTTCGTATTGTAGCATGGGTCTGTATTGTGCATGCTTTGATGAAAATCTGTTAGGAGCAAAAGTTTATCACCATGCGACAGTATAGTAGACTATGAGGCTTCTTTTGCGAAAATCTTTATTTTCTCCTTCCGTCTCCTCATTTGAGTTAATATTGGGCAGACATGCGTGATGAAGTGCTTTGTCTCCGTGAAAAGGTGAAGGAAAGATTACGTAACTCAGACGATTACCAGGCATTTCTGAAGTGCATTGTGCATTATTGCACAGAGAATATTACTCGACCACAACTCCAATCGCTGGTAAACTTATCTACACTTCATATCGTCATAAAGATTATCAATTAGTTTCTAATGTTCAATTATTGTATGTTTGTCGAACCTATTATCATCTTTCTTCCATGTATTTATGATAAAACCTTATTATATTTGTCATGCTACATGGTTTTACATGCTTGACTTACAATAAAGGTCCATCATGCACATCATTTGAATATTATATACTGTTAAACAAAATGATATATCGGAAGCCTAAAGCAGCATTAAGATAATAACTTGTATTCGGGCCGGTCTCTTGTCACTTTCAGTCATTAGAAGTACTTGCACAATACTTTTTTGTATGGCATGCTCAGATCAATTTGCGTATTTTGGATGTGTTTTTGTAATCTTAAAAAGCATTCATTTTCGTTAGGTGAATAATTTACTTGGAGCTTATCCAGATCTTATGGAAGAAGTCAATGGGTTCATTGATCGCAGTGAGAGGACTGGTAATCATCACCAAAGCTGTATTTTGATCTACCTACGGAGAATCTATTATTCTTTGAATTTAAAACATTTTTATCTGCTAACGGCTTTATGCAGATGGCTGTTTTGCCATATTACTAGTGAAAATACGAATAGTTGATGTAAGATTCAATGCTGATTTTTCTTCTATTCTTCTCGAGCATCATTTGGAAGGTTTTTCCCATAAGGGCGTGAGTTCATTTTATTTCCCAGTCAGCCATCTCTAGCAGGAACTTTGACCGTCATAAAACTTGCACTATATTTACCGAGATGAAAGGCATCTGATGTTATTAGTTGATCCTAAAGAGATGTAAAATGCGCATGGTTTATGGAAAATTCAATGCTGGTTTTCTTTTATTCTTATCTAATATCATTTAGAGGTCTCTCCCGTAAGGATGTTTGTTCAATTTATTTACTCAGTCTGCCATCTCTAGAGGACCTTTGACTATCATAAAACTCAAATTATCTTAACTGAGATGAAAGGCATCTCATGTTGTTTGTTCATACTAAGTAGATATTTGGCCAGGTTCTTTTTGGAGTGGGCATTTACCCGGATCTTTGAAGGCAGAGGATGAGGATAGAGATCAAAATCATGATACAGATGAAATGGACAGGGGTTGTGAGATCAAAGATGGGGAGAGATCTGCTATTAGCGGTAAAAATGTATCTGGATTTAAGCAATCTCTACTTCCAAGCAAGGATGAGTATCAGGCGAAACCAATTCAAGAACTTGATCTTTCTAACTGTGAACGCTGCACTCCAAGTTACCGGCTTCTGCCAAAGAATGTAGTTAATCTTGCATTTTGTACATTTAATCAGTTATGTCTTACCGTATTCACTTGATCAGTTTTTCATTTGTCAATGTTGATATAGTATCCAATTCCTTCGGTAAGTCAAAGAACAAAAATTGGTGATGAGGTGTTGAATGATCACTGGGTGTCTGTTACTTCTGGAAGTGAGGATTACTCTTTTAAGCACATGCGTAAAAACCAGTACGAAGAGAGCTTATTTCGATGTGAAGATGACAGGTAGGGCATTCTGGCATTAATTGAGATGTGTATCATATGATTACCCTTTTTCATGTATTTCCTTTTTTGTGTATCATGTTTATATATTGATTTTGCTAATTGGAACAGATCACTAGATTATTATACAAGTTCTTTATACTACCAATATTGAGCTTCCCTACTTCCCATGAAACATTCATGGGAGGGATACATATGCCTCCCAAAATATTAATTAATTACTGCTTACTGATGGGTGGTATTATTGTTACCTTTTATGTCAGGTTTGAACTAGACATGCTGTTAGAATCTGTGAATATAACAGCCAGACGTGTCGAAGAACTTTTGGATAAGATCAATGATAACTCAATCAAGACAGACAGCATGGTTCGCATTGAAGATCATTTTACAGGTAAGAAACTGATCAAGGACCTAAATAAATTCACAGAACATCCATTTTTTGCAGCCTTGTTCACCATTTTCTTCTGTTTGTTGCTCAGCTTTAAATTTGAGGTGCATTGAACGTCTGTATGGAGATAATGGGCTTGATGTGATGGATGTATTAAGGAAGAATGCATCTTTTGCGCTTCCAGTAATATTAATTCGCTTAAAGCAGAAACAAGAGGAGTGGGCTAGGTGTCGTTTTGATTTTAACAAGGTTTGGGCAGAAATTTATGCTAAAAACTATCACAAGTCACTCGATCATCGCAGCTTCTATTTCAAACAGCAGGATTCAAAGAGCTTGAGTGCTAAAGGTAAACGTACTAAATCACTGAAGTAACTTCTCTAAATTTTTCATCTCTTGATCCTCATCCTCCCTAAATCATCAGTGTTAATGGATTAGCTGGTTGTTGAAATCGATTGTGATCCAGTCATGATGTTGAAATTGCTTGAGCGATTGCAAGCAATTTTGCCATCCCATGTCAAAACTTATATTTGGGCAATTGATTCACATTATTAATCACACAAGTTGTTTTCTGAATCTCTTAAGTACTGAACAAATTGGGCTTAGGTACTGAGACCTGCACCTTGCAATTTATCATGCTCTGGAGCATTGATGCTTCTGGGCATGAGTCCCTAATTATCAATAACTCAGTAAATGGTCTCTTTGTTGATGACAGCTATAATTTCTTCCATCCTCAACTCTCAACACACTAAAAAATGACTCCTTTCAGAAATGGATACCTTTGTGAAAAGCTAAATATTGTGGGACTTTCCAAGCCAAAAAGGTGGGAACAAAAAATTTATACTTGAATATTCGTCTCTATTTGTTGAACTTTGTTGGTTAAATTATGGGTTTTGAACTATTCCAGATGTTGAAACCTTGTTGTCTTAACTGATGAACTGAATGCAATTTATTTACCTAATGTTGGCAATCTGGCATCTGATGTATGAATTTATAAAAATATGTTGATGAGTTGCTATTACTTGCTGCCTATAAATTGTTGAATCCTTATGAAGCGAGAACCTCTTTATCCTGCTCATTAGAATAAAAATGCATGCCTCTCACTTTGCCAGTTCCTGGAGTCCTTTGCACCTTGTCGTTTCATTTCCCGTCTATGATTTCTCTTGAATGGATCTCTATATTATCATGTATCTAAATCCTACTAGAATCTCAACTACAAACTCGCTCAAGATTTGCAATTTACTTGGAATTCAGGAATTCCACTTGTAAATTGGTTGTAGCCTGATCAAAATGTGGCCTTGGGATTATCTAATTTTATCGTACAGCATACACCGATCGAATGCGAACCTAGAATCAAGATTGGTTGTTATGGAGTTCACTCGGAGTTACAAAATGATCTCAAGAGGAGCAATAAATGTATGGTGCTCTCAAGTTCCATACCAAATTCTGCCCAGTTCAAAGAACCAAAATGTTCTCAGTTTTCACTAACCTGAGGTGCCCCTTATAGTTCTATAATTAGAAATATAAGTTTATAAAAGTTTATTTATACTTGGTATATAAACTATCTGAGTCTGTGACTCCTAAATAATAAAAGAATTACAAACTTATCTTGGTTGTCTTTCAACTTTTTTTCTTGTTCCACTAGAAGGGTTCCAACCATCACAAAACTGAGGAGCTTGGAACACTTTGGTCATCCTTTAATTAAAGGTTTCACATTCTCCTTTCTTTTTTCATTTACGATGGATGATAATCCATGTTCTTTCATATTGCAGCATTGTTGGCAGAAATCAAGGAAATCAGTGAAGAGAAGGCTAAAGACGGAAACTTATATCAGCATTTTGCTTCTGGGAAAAGGCAAGACTCTATGCCGCATCAAGAATTTAAGTATTGTGATTTGGACGTCCATGAAGACGTATATCAGCTCATGAAGTATTATGTTCCACAAAATTGTACCCCTGAACAATTTGATAAGGTCATGAAGATCTGGACAACTTTCGTGGAACCTATGTTTAGTGTTCCTCCCCGCCTTGCAAAAGCCAGCAATCCCGCCATGAAAAGTGGCAGTACTGTTAGGCAAAGTAATGGCAAAGATGTCCATAGCACTATTGGTTTCAAACAGTTGACCACCGCCAATGAAAACGATAAAGTTTTAGCTGAACATTCAGGTTCTTCACGAGCATGTTTGGTAAATGATAATAATGGCGTTAAAGAGAATGGTTCTCACATCACAAATCATTTCCGGCGTAAGAGTGGCACTTCATGCATTACCCCTAAGTGTGAAACACTCAAGATTAATGTTCAATCGACTGATGAAACTTCGCAGATTGGTGGTGCACATTCTTCAGGTGATAAACATCCATACGGTGTCCCCCATTCCCCTGATTCAATTCTCTTTGTATTTCATTCACTTTTAAGTATATAATATTTTGTACTCCGCAAATACTCACACACTCCTCACCTCTGGTGAGGTTTGAACCCTTGACCTCATGGGAGGCTGGGCTCTTCCAGTAACCTGGGCAGTCAATAGCAGATTGCGGTCCTCAGATGAATTGCGGTTCAAAATAGCAGTGGTTTACAGCGATGCCGCAATTAGTGGCGCTATTCACCGCTATTGCACCGCAATTTTGTATCAAAATAGCGATCCGCTATACCGCAATTATTCTTGGGCCATTTCAGTGTTGGGGATTTAGGTTTTTAGAATAGTTAGGCTTTGTTTTAATATTTTGTGGGCCTTTATTTACTTTTAGAGTTTTAGTTGACCTAAATTAAATCCTTTTCAAGTTTCATCGACTGAATCCTGAATCATATCCAAGAGACCAAGGGGTGAATCGTCCCTACCTTTCATGCTCCAGCCACTCGACTGAATCGTGAATCATCCTGCCACTCCACTCCCTTGATCGACTCTATAAACTCTATTACTATGTTGCTTGTGTGGTTCGAAACTTTGAATTGTTTGCTTGATATGTATTAGGCATACATATATGAATTTGTACACACACACACATATATATTCGGATTTAATTTATGTGCCTATTTTTTTTATTACCGCCTATCCCACCGCGATTGCAAGTCAAGGTCCCGACCTCGATTTCCGCGATCGACCGTGTTAAATGCTTAGCCAGTAACCTGGATACCGCTGGACCAATGACCCTTTGGTTTGTATTTCATTCATTACATGATTGGTGGTTCTTGTATCATTACAGGGCTTTGCATCACTTCCTCAAAACCTGGTAAAGCTGCTTTGGAGAGTGGACTCGTGTCAAGACCTAACGCTGGCGGTTCTACACAACCAGGATCATCTTTGAATGAGGCAATAGTAGGGAGTGGCAGAAGCAAGAGACGCCATAGTGACACTGGTGGTGAACTTAAGATAGAAAGAGAGGAGGGTGAATTATCTCCAAATGGTGATTTTGAAGAGGATAATTTTGCCGCATTCAGGGACACAGGGACTATCTTGAGCAAAGAAAATTACCAAAACAGATATCATGAAGGTGGTTTAGAAAACGAAGCAGACGACGAAGGTGAGGAAAGTGCACATAGGTCATCGTGCGACAGCGAGAATGCTTTCGAGAATGGTGATGGTTCAGGCAGTGAAACTGCTGAAGTAGAGGATCACTCCCCTGAAGAGCATGATGGGGTTCATGATAACAAGGCCGAGAGTGAAGGTGAAGCTGAAGAAGGAGAAGAAACTGTTCTACCGTTTTCAGAACGTTTTCTAGAAACAGTAAAGCCGCTTACAAAGTATGTTCCAGGAGTATCACATAATCAAAAGGATGATCCTCGGGTTTTCTATGGAAATGATGCCTTCTATGTTTTTTTCAGACTTCATCAAGTAAGACTCGTGGTGTTACAAACTACTTATTGATACAATTCTAGACAAAGATCGTGTAAGAATAGGAGTTAAGGTGAAAAACGTAAGAAGGGATCTGAACCCTCAATCACTTTTAATCTCACCCCCACTCCATGAATTGTGTTTTTCACGGGAATTGATCCGGTGCATCTCGGTGCACCGCATTAGTGATCTTCAATTAGGATTGATCCAAGGGTAGAGATCCCTTCTTACCCTTCTCACCATAACTTCCATTCTCACCGGAACCCAACCCTACAATTCTATTGGTCTTTATTTGGTTTTCTACTTTTAATCCACAGACACTATACTCAAGACTGGAGGAAGCAAAGGAAAAGTCAGCTAATGATAAATGGAGGGGTGGTTCAAATGACACGACACCTAATGATTCATATGCTAGGTCTTTTAGCTGTTGCACCTTAATTATGCCCTCTAAATTGCTAAAAGATCCTTGTTCAATTAATTAAACTGATTTCCCTTTTCTGTGGTTTAGATTCTTGGATCTACTCTACACTTTTCTTGGCGGTGCTGTTGATAGTGCAAAATATGAAGACGAATGTCGAACTGTTCTTGGCACTTGGTCGTTCTCTGTCTTCACATTAGACAAGCTGATATACAAGCTTTCTAAACAGGTTACATGCTCGTTTTCCATCTTGTTTTTCTAGTCCTTTGAACCATAATACTTGGGGGATGTTTACCAAATGCTTACCGGGTAAGCGCTTACCAGCAAGAGGCACCACTCTCATTTACCTTAGGAGTTAACATTCCTAGCCATCAAAATGGATTAATGGTAACATTTATAACCCCGTAAGCGCTTACCGGGTAAAAGTCATCACGCTCACTTACAGGACAAGACTCTTGATCCTTTGTTTCCCTCTTACCGGGTAAGATTCTTGGTTCTTGTTATGTTCACCCGATAAAGTGGTTGAACAGGAAGCGCTTACCAAGGTAAATGTTTAGTAAACGGCCCCTTAGCTTTTGTTGCAAACAAACTTTTCTTCTCGTGAAAATGAGAAAAAGGAAAAAGCACTACACTTTGCAAGAATGTTCGAATTTGGACACAAATTTCGAAGTGGGATGGGTTTTTGCATTTATAGTTCACAATTTTTTTTCAATATCACTCATGCTTAGAAACAATGGTCCTTTTTGCATTTCCACTAGAACGATGGTTTGTTTGCAGTAAAAGAACTAAGCATGATGGATGGAATTTGGAAAAGTTGATCACTTCGTGTTTTTCCTAAATACCATCATATTCTCCAATACGGGTCTGAATTTTGTGCTCATAATACCTTCCACAGCTGCTAGCAATCGCTATGGATGAAGTTGATAACAAGCTTCTCCACCTTTATGCATATGAACATATGAGAAAACCTGGGAGATTCGTAGATGAACTTTATAATGCAAATGCCAGAGTGATTGTTAACGATGATAACATTTATAGATTTGAGCATGTGAGTGGTACTGTCCCCTCATTATTCCCGAATTCTGGTACAATTTTTCGTTAACAAGTTTTGTGTCATTACAGTCGCTTATACCAGAAACAGATAGACAAACCCGATTAACCATTCGGCTAATGGACCTCGGATGTGAGACATCAGAAGCACCAGCCTTTTCAATAGACCCGAGTTTTGCAGCCTATCCAAGCATTCAAAACCTTCCAGTTGCTCATGGAAAAAAGAAGCCTGGGATCTTCTTAAAAAGGTATTTAGCACTTGGCAAAAACCTCACTCAATTTGGTTTTCTGATTTAACAATGGGATTTCTGTGGTTTAATTCCATCATCGTGAAGTTTCCTACAATTGGAGGCTAGATGCTTAAGTGGCACCACATTGTGTCACTTTGTTGACATAAATAAGTTACCTTTTTAACAGGTTGTTTGGTTAAATGACCTTTTGACAGGTTTTTCATTTTTTAGCCACTTTTCAAAGCCTCTTCTCAAAATAACCCATCTTTATGCAGATGCCTTACGCATTGGCATAAAGACTGATTTCTGGAAGAAGAAAAAAAATCCTTAAGCTAGAAGAGCTATTTCAATAGCAGCGTCCAAAATGCTTATACGAGCTCAATTCATCATTTCGGGATAAAAAAGAAATAAGCCTTGGGTAAAAAAAAGCAAAAATTTGAATCTTTACGCAAACAAATCTTTTCCCTTCTTTTATATCTGAAAATCAAGTTTACGCAAATGCGTAAGATATTTGCGTAAACTCTGGCTAAAATGGAATTCAATTGAAAAAGTGGGAAATTGACTATTTTGATCAATTTCCCATAATATTATTTCTTAACAGAAAGTGCCATTTCCATACACAAGAATGCCAAATAAAAACACCTGTCGGAAGGTCAAGGATTAAAAAAAACACTCATTTAGCTAAATAACCCCCTTTTTAACTATGTTTTCTCATGTGGCATAACTCGGCATAAGATATAAAAAACGTACTCTTAGCGCTGTGTGAGAAAATGATAACATGAAATTTCATGTGTGTGAGTCAACAAATTTGTCAATTTTTTAATGCACAATGAAGGTGATAATAACATTGTGAAGGGATTATCATGCTCTGCCTTTATCTCTGCTCATGAAACGTAACTAGTAAATGTGAAGTAAAAGATGGTCGCTATTTGGTTGGTTTTCCATTAAGTCTTGTATGGATAAAGTTGTATGTGAGGTATTAATCTGTCTGTATAGATTGGGAAGATTTTTGTTTGGAATGGTTTTTTCATGGATGAAAGGAGCGTGTTTTTTAATTGGGAGGGGAAAAAAAAACTCGACTTTGTGCATAAAGCTCCCCCTAAAAGCTTACTGAGTAAACCACTTTCTATATCATTAAGCTACTACCAAACAGTCATGTATGGCTAACTGAATAAGCTACGAGTCTCGTTAAGCTCATTAAGCTGCTAAAAAACAGGCCCTAATTTGTTATCTATGCAGAAATAAAAGAAAATATGCTTGTGAAGATGAAGACTTAGCAATGATGCAGGCCATGGAGGGACTTCGAATTTCAAACAGGATGGAGTGCAAGATAAATTGCATTACATTTAAGGTAAATCTTATTGACCAAAAAGTACATTTGGCAAAAAGTTATCTGCTTTGCCCTTCTTGAAGGACAAATAACTAGTAGTGGTTGAAATATCTTTTTCCGTAAAAGCAATTGGTGTTGATTTCCGAGGCTCGTGTGCAGATATCGTATGTTTTAGATACAGAAGACTCTATGGTGCGTATGGGCCGAAGACATACCAGCAGTCGATGTATACCACCGAATGAACTTGCCAATTCAAATGGCTATTCGCTCCAAGTACAAAAGTTCCGTAAGATGCTGCAGTCTAGGATTCAATGCTTGGCGACGTGACAAGAAAAATGGATGAGGTATTTGACGTACCAACCTATTTGAAACTTCAAATATATATATTTGACATAAATGATTCATGTTGCTTGTGTTTAAATGGGTGTCATTGGAAAATGCATGATCTAAATGGTGTTATGAAATGTGGTTATTTATGTTTCATGCATAGTAATTTGAAGGTGAAACAAGCATGCTAAAGTGTTTTGAAGAACTATACAAAATGCACTTTGATGTGTTTGAAGCTTGATACTTTATTTAGCATGTTGTTGATTTAACTATTGGGAAACATATTTTATATAATTGAGGCATTTGAGCCATTTGTATGCTCTGGTGGTGATGTATTAGATTCGAATCAGTCGCCCCTTGTTGTTTTGTATTGGAGTATTAAAAAAAGGTGGTCCCACATCGGAAAGTATTGGAGAGTAATCTAACGGAGTTCCACATATTCTCACATGGTACAAGAACATGTCTACCACTCTATAGACTCGACTAGCCCCACACTTGTCTAGCTCTCTTTCGACATTGCATGTGAATCCCATATCGGCTAGATTTTGACCATTTCACCCCATCCCCCTCCTGGACTGGGGAGGGAAGTTCTCCTCAAAGGCTCTTTTGGAGAGTAATCTAATGGGGTTCCACATATTTTTACAAGAATTCTTTAAGTTTTCTTAGAAAAAAAAATAGATAACCATATTAAACTTTAGAAGCGAGACTCCATCTCTTTTCTTGAAACAAAGGGTTACATTACCTTTCTTGCAACAAGATCTTCTAAGCCCTAGGTAGACTAGGTGTGTGTGGGTATTCCTGCGTTGGTTATGATTTCTTGTACCTACTTCTGTCTGTATGTTTTGTTTGTTTTTGTCTGTATGTTTGGATTGTCGTTGCTTACTTCCAACTCTCGTCCAATTTTTAGCATTACCTTCTGTATTTTCAACTTCTTATGTTCTTTCTCTGTAAATTTACGAGCATGTGATACCCTTTCCTTTCGCACACTTTGCACAAGTAAGGGGTCTTCACAGAAACAGTCGCTCTACTCTTTGAGATAGAGGTTAGGTCTGCATACATCCAACCCTCCAAACCCACCTCCGGGTGGACTTACTGGATTTGTTGGTTTTTGTTTATACTCGATTTTACCATGGATTTTTTTTTCAAAATGCTTTTATGGTATATAACAAATTCGTATTCAATGCAGGTATTGGTAGTGGTTGCAAGATTTGACGGTAAACGTAAAAGGTTCCTTAGTTTTAGTGTTCATATAGATGATGAATAAGAGACGGCTCCAAGAACCGTCGTATAATGTCGATCCGAGCTTCATCTCTAGTAATTTTCAGATTTGTGAGCTTTTTTCCTAAATCATGTTGATAGAACTTGCTATAAATAGAAAGCAGAAAAAAAAGATAGCAGTACGTAGTTACCATATTCCTTTTTTTCATTCCAGTTGGCTTTATGTTCTTCGTTAAACCTGCGATAAAAAAGGAAACAAAAGAGAGTACTTACGAGACCTTTTCTACAAGAGGCAGAGTATCTCCGACACCTATGTTATTTTAGAAATTTGGGAAAAGTTTTGCTCCAACAACTATGTTAAATTCTTCTAAAAATGAGAATAAAAAATTCGCTAAATTTGGGGGAAAATAGAGCATATCTGTTAGGGTTACTCTAAGAGCATCTTCAACAGTTATTTTATAATTTTTCTAAAATAAAATATCAAAAATCAAAATTTTTAAAAGAGAATATTAATTCTAGCACTAATTATATTATTAAAATATTATATATATTTAATAAAATATTATTTCTTTCTCCTATATAAAGTTTTTTGAGGTTTTTTTTAAATTTAGAGATTTTTACATTTTTTTTTCTATTTTATAATATAATATAGCATAGCTGTTGAAGCACAACTATCCCTAGATGATACGGTCTCGTAAAAAGAAGCTACAACCCAATGGACTAAAACTGAAAGCCGAAAAGAACATAAAGGAAGACCCGAAAGCACTATAGCAGCAGCCACATACAGAAAAACGAAAACCATCCGCTCAAACTGTAGACACTCCAAGCCATTAGAAGGTAGCGTACTCACGTAGCACCTCTTGGATCAAATAAACCAAATTTGAGGTTTTCACGTAAGATTAAGTTTCGATTTTATGTATAGAGGCATAAAAATTACGTGTGTCGTATAATAGCAAATGATTATTATTTCAAATATAAAATTACAATACGACGATCTTAGAGATTTTTATTTCTTATTTGATTCATCAAAAGTTATTTACGATCGTATCTTAATAATTTAATTAAAGTAGCAACTTGTTTATTAATTTTCACATTCCTTTTTATTAACCTGGATATCCAGCCAGTTATGCGAATCGACTAATTGCAGAGTGACCATCCGCTTTGCGCGTAGCCCGGAGTCACTGCATTTTAACCTCTATGATCACAAGGGGAATTTCACTCCTCATTGGATTCGAATCCGGGACCTCCAGACACTTTTGACCTTTGGAGTTCAAGCTTAAACCAATTGAGCACCACCTTGTGATTAATTCCCACAATATCTGTTTCAATTTGGAGTTTCCTTCGTTTAATATTTATGTTATTAATTTACAATATTAATTTTTTGTTTTGATTAAAATAGAAAATGAATATTAAACTAAAGGGCTGTTTACTTGTGGCTTAATTAGGCTTATTGGTTTATCTGACTTATTCGTACAAAACATAGCTTAATCGCACATATAGAAATGGTGTGTTGTCCCATTCAGCCACAAAATGACATCTTTACCCCTTGTTTAAAGCACCTCATTCTTCCCATATGAGACATCCCATCGTCGGTCTCTTTATGATTTTTTTTTTGTTTTGATGTTCAAATAATTAATATTGGGGGATATATCGGTCATTTATGTTATTCAAACTGTTGGTTCAGATAAAAAAAATAAACAACACTCATTTATCCAGACAGACAAATTTATCCATACAGGACTTAATAAAAAAATTTGGTAAACAACCTCTAAGAGAGCTATTAAAATATAAATATTTTAAAAGTTATAGAAATTAAAACGTATAAGAGATTAGATCTTGTCACACTTATTTATTAAAAGAAAAAAAAATTAAATGAAGATTTTCGGAGTTAGGTGTCATTTTGTTTTAGCGGTAAGTTTGAGTCGTTTTTGTGGTCTTTTTCAAGGGTTGTTTGAGTTGATGATTTCCGGGGCTCGTCTCGAGTCTCTCTTGATGGTGTAGACGTTTGGCTTTGGTAGGTTGTTTTCTTGTTGCGTTATGGTTTTGCTTTCTTCTTTGGTTTCAAATGGTGTTGTTTCTTTCAGATCTTGTGTTCTTTTTTCCTTCTCTGTACTTGTTCTCCTTTTCTTATCAGTTGTGCAAATTTTGTACTGTATTGGAAATCTTTGAAGTTCCAGAGAAGTATTGTAATTCAAAAATGAAATTTTCGATTTTAAACATGCAAATTGCAATAAAATGTACTTTAGTTTCATTCATATTTTGAGTAATGTACTTTTAAAACTTTCATTTTGGTACTTAAAAGTTTCAAATTTCACATCTTATATATCAAAATGAGAGTTTTAAAATGTATGTTATCCACCATAAGAAAAAAAAACTACCAAAAGGCCTTTGGTCTAGCGGTATGTGAGTCTTTGGTCTAGCGGTACGTTAATTTTTCATGTAATTTACATTTTTAAATATTCCTAAGGGGCCATAATAGAATGGTAGCAAAGTACAGGGTCTAAAAAGCAAAATAGTCCTGTTTCACTAAACAATGTCGTGTTTTGCCTTTCGGGTTGTTTTTGGCTATTGAAATTTGGGGATAAATCGATCTGATCGAAGACGAAGAAACGTCAAGAAGATCAAGACTCAAGAGTGACGCAGAGATGGTGAACATGACGACGTTTTTCGGGATGTCTCTTGGTGCTTTCGTATTCTGGCAATCAATGGATAAAGTTCATGTCTGGATTGCTCTTCACCAGGACGAGAAGGTCTCATAATCTCTCTATCTTTCTGTATATATATCTGTATTTATACATATACGAACATATCTAGCTATGTGGTTATGTGGTTTGATTTTGATCGTGCTTCTTCGATGCTTGCTTCTAAATGTACTTGTGTGATTTTCAAAATTATGGTTCAGATTATGTCGTAGTAGGTGATTTTTAAAATTGTATGTTAATTAATAACCTTTTCATAAATTTCGGCTTAGTTGAAGCGTTTATCTAATTGCTGAACATCAATAATACCAAACTGCTGGAGCTCGGAGGTTTGGATTTTGGATTAAGAACTGGAATCAGGGCTAATTAAATAAGTCGTTGAAAATTTTCGTCTTTGCTGGTCCCTTAAATGGATTGGATCCTGATGGGAGCAAAATCAGTTCAAAATGTTTACTAATTTGCCTCCTATTTTTAACCTGAAACTTAGAAATTAGTACTTGCAAACAATATGTTAATGAATTTGTACTACTGAATAGCTTCAGGTGATGATATTTAACCATTTTTTGGTATCTAGTGTTCAAACTAATAGATTAGAGTGCTTTTGGTTTGTTTCTCTTAAAAGTAGAGGACTCTTATTTGGCGTTACAAGATCTCTATGATCATATATATATATATATATATATATGGTTAGGTTCGGGGTAAAACCGCAAAACATGAAAAACTGAGGAACACCCTGGTAATCTGGACGGTATACACGTGTGCATACAAGTAATTTGTAAGCAATTTGTCTGGTATGCACACATGCGTAAAAACCAAGAAACAACTTCAATTACTTGTATGCACATTTGCATACCGTTCATATGAATGGTCACTAGGGCGTTCCTCAGTTTTTCATTTTTTGGGGTGTTTTTAACTCTCTCTCTCTCTCTATATATATATATATATATGTGTGTGTGTGTGTGTGTGTGTGTGTTCAGATGAATGATCACCAGGGTGGTCTTCAGTTTTTCATTCTTTTGGGGGGATTTCCCTGAACCTCCCTCTATATATGTGTCCAAGACTAGGAACCTTATATAAGGTTCAAATGAGAAGGAGGTCAATTCGCGAATGTGAGAAGTTCCAAGTTCACACTTGATTACATGTAATACAATCATACGAACACGTAATATATATGATACAACACATGTTGCATTGACCGGCATATAGCGGGTGATGTTTCCCACGACCTTTGGTCATGTTCACCAAGTCGTCTTCTTCCCTTTTTGACGTGTTGCATCATATATGATTGCGTGTTTGTATCACATGTAATCATGTGTGATCTTGAAACCTCTCATCTTCTAGCAAATTGATCAACTTCTCGCATGATCCTGCCTGGCTCCCTCTCTCTCTATATATATGTGTGTGTGTATCAAATGGTGGTCAGAGTGCAAGGAACTTGTCATTTATTCACCTTTTTCTGGCTTTTGAGAAAATTTGGCATGGAAATGATTTTGAGTTTATGAAATGTGAATCATATATCCCTAGTGAATGTGAACTTATTGATTAAAATGGTTGTACAAAACAGAAGGCTGTTTAGTCATTCTTTGAAACAATGTGTTTGGTTTTCCTTTTACCATGCCAACAAATAGGTACGATACATCTGTTTTAACCAAATATTTGTATTACTGAAGTTTATTTGCTACAAATGTTATTTGTACCATGAGTACAACTTGTCTGGCTAGAGCAAGTTATGCACCAGAAGGCTGGCTGGGTTCTTATTTTCTAGGCTTTAATTCTGCATTTTCTGGTTTGACAGTTGAAAAAGATGACACTTTCTTGAAAAATAATGCATTTTGAGTTATGATCTCAAAAGGGATCTATTTTTCACAAGTCAAGATAGTGAATTCTTTCAACTATAGAGGAACTTCTGTATACCTACATTAAGATTGATGACAATTACTAGTGGATAAAAAGGTCAGTCTAAGAATTGTTAGACCATAAGTTCACTTCAAAGTGCAAATGTATTACTCCCTCCGTCCCAAAAGAAATGTCCACATTTCTATTTTAGTTTCTCCCAGAATAAGTGTCCACATTTCTATTTTAATTTGTGCCAAAATAAGTGACATTTCTATTTTAGTTTGTCCCAAAATAAGTATCCACTTTAAAAAACAGGTGCATATTTTTCCATTCTACCATTAATTATGAGATGGAGAATTTAATCACTGTAAGGTCCCACACCCATCGGTTTTGGGTGGGGAACGAAGGTTGCCTTATATAAGGGACTGGAGACCTCCTTTGTCAAATGATTTTTAAAACCGGGAGTCCAGATATGGATAAAGCAAACAATATCTTGTATGGTTGGCTTGGGGTATTACAGATGGTATCAAAAGCCGGGAACCTGACTGGTGTGCGCTAGGCTCCTAGGAGGGGAATAAAGGTTGCCTTATAAGTGATCGAATACCTCCTCTATCACACGGGTTTTAAAACCATGAGTCCAAGTGTGGACAAAGCGGACAATATCCGGTACAGTTGGTCTGAGATGTTTCAATGTCTCTCATTATTAAAGGTAGAACTGCCATTAAAAGTGTAACAATTACACTTTTCTAAAACATTTGCCTTTCTGGATACTTATTGTTAAATGCACCATTATCAACTAATTTCCTCCTCACACACTTCATAATCAAGACTTGCTTTTTTACATTCTCAATGCATGATTTGTTCTGATTCTGACATTAAAGGGTGCATATATCATCACCCAACGGGGAATGCTAAATGCACCCCCCCTTTCCTTGTACTCTAATTTCCTCCTAACACACGTCATAATCAAGACTTACTTTTTACATTTTCAATATATGATTTGATCTGATTCTGACATAAATAGGGGTGCATACAGCAACACCCATTTTATACATGTGATGATAGAACGAGATAGCTTTTATTTCGTGTGACCCACTAAAGTACGGGTTAGTTATATGCAGCAAGAAAGAATGGAGAAGGAAGCAGAGATCAGGAGAGTGAGGGAACAACTTATACAAGAAAACAAAGAAAGAGACCCTCTTGCTTGAATTTTCCCAATTCTTCGTTCGATTTCCCATCGTCTGCAATACTTTTTATGCTTTTCCCTCAAATGGCTGTTTGATTTGCCGGAGTTTTGATAATGAACATACTTAATGTATTAAGCAGATACCGATGATTATTGCTGAATAAGTTTGTCTTCTTAAGTAACTACCTTGTGTCCGCAACAACTTATACCTTGTTGCCCTAGCAACTCCTGATGCAATTTATGAAGGATGCGTTTGGTATGCAAGACAGAGGGGATAGGCCAGTACAAAAACCAAAGTAGGTGAAACAAAATCAGAAAGATGAGACAAGATTGGTAAATTACCAAAGGTTTGTGTGGTTGGTTTTCTATTAAGGCATGTATAGATAAATCTATCTGTATTAAGAAGGTTTTGTTTGGGAAAGTTTTTTCATAGATGGAAGGAGTGTGGTTTTTAATTTGGATAGACAAGTTTGAAAAGAACTTGGCTTTCTACATAAAGCTCCCTCCTAAAAGCTTACTCAATAAGCTAATTTATATATTATTAAACCACTACAAAATGATCATGTATGTCTGACTTGAATAAGTTGTGAGTTTCATTAAGCTCATTAAGGGGCTGTTTGGCAGTTGCTGAATGATTTAGTGCATAATAGTTAAGAGGTTAGAATGGTTAAGAGGGTCAGAATGGTTGAGTGCTGAATGAAATAATGTTGTTTGGTAACTGTTATCTGAATGGCAGTAAAATTACCATTTTAACCCTATGAATGATTTAACCCTTTGAAATTCAAATTAAAAGAAAATCCTTCCGTCGTTCTCATTGCATCCCTCTCAGGCTCCCACAGTCCCTCCCACTCATCATCTTCAATCGTTTTAGGGATTTGTCTCTCTCTGCCCTTTGCAATTCTCACCTTGAAGAAGAAGGAGCACACATACAGTCTCTCTCTCTCCCTCTCTCCACCATCGCAAGCCGTCGAGTCCTTTTTCGTCATCCTCGTCGTCATCGTCTTACAAGCAGCTCATTCCTCGATGTATCACGACGAGGTTACAGATCCTTCACTCCTAGCCAGAAGTAGTCCGACTCGATGTATCACCAAGGAGGTTACGGAGGCCGTTCTCCTGTCATTTATCCGTCCACCGACGAGGTGATTGAAGAAGCGGTTGATGGTATCCCAAAGAGGATGGGCTGTGCAGCGATCGGGAATGGAAGGGGGAAGAAGAAAGGGAGCGACCAGGGGGAGATCTGAATGGGCACGGCTGCTTGGTGGGTGTGGAAGGGTATTGATGGAAGAAATGGTAATCTGAATGGTTGAGTAGCCCCCCACCCTCAAAATGGTTAASAGGTMTGTGTAACGATTCAGAGGGCTTTTTTTTTTGCCAAACACATTTTACCTCTGACCGATTCAGAGGTTGGCTCTTAATGGTGACATTAAGAGCCAAACAAACAGCCCCTAAGTTGCTAAGAAACAATCCCTAAATTACCAACGTCAAATTAGAACCATAAATCCTTCCAGAGCTCTTTCACCTGTTTATTCTACTAGCATCCATCTGTGTATCAAACACACCCTAAAGGAATAAAGCAACGAGTTTTTGAACTTCTTATAGTTGCTCTTAACTCCTGTAAATTTATTTCAAGTTTTACTTGACATCGTATAGATAATAGGTTGGGAACTACTGCAATCTCTGATGAGAAGTTTCAATCTTCAAAATGAACAACTTTCGAATGCTGATACGAGTTGAAGGTTGGGTTTGATTCGAAGATGAACTGCTTCGGATGATCCAAGTTGATCGAATCGGCACTGTTTAACGAGTGGAGGAAAAATGGACCTATCATCTCGATCAAAAACCAATGTTGATGTGGTAAGTCTTTTACCTATTTATGAAATATATTGAATATTTTGCTTGAAATTTTACAAGCAGGAATATGGGTAAGAATGCTTCTTGTTTAACTACGTGGGTTCTTATAAGAATCTCTGATTAGACAATAACTTTTATCCCACAACGAAGGTGGTTATAAAAACTTCAACAAAGACCTTAACAAAAACCTTACGTGCCGTATTTTTCTCTTGCCAATAAAACTCCACAATGGATGTTTTTACGAAAACTTTACTTTCCATTCTTTAAGTTATAAAATGTAGTTATATTCATAGATTAATATATAGAGAGAGAGAGAGAGAGTGAGAGATGGAGGTTTAGAGAAAAGCCTTAAAAAATGAAAAATTGAGGAACACTCTTGTAATCATTCATCTAGACGGTATGCACATGTGCATACAAAGTAATTGAAGTTGTTTCTTGGTTTTTATGCACATGTGTATATCGGACAAATTGCTTGCAAATTAATTGTATGCATATATGCATACTATCTAGATGAACATAGACCATGGTGTTTCTCATTTTTCATTTTTTGTGGTTTTTCTTTGAACATGATTCTCTTTCTCTCTTAACCATACATGCAACAAGTTCATCAAAAAAGGGTATTATATAAAAAAATTCATAAAATTAAACAATTTTATGAAGAAAAAAAATTCATATGATTAAACAATTAAATCGACGAATGAAAATGGTTTGTACGGTTTATACAAATTAAATGGTCTGCATTTGATCGCTTCACTCACACACTCTCTCTCTATATATAGATAGATAGATATATAGAAATGGGAAGAGATCCCAAACTAGGCAAAGTAATGAGATATTGAAGCAGAGGGGACAAATTTTTTTTAAGTAATGATTCAATTTAATAATTAAAAACATCTAAACAAAAATTTTATAATACTAATACAAAGAGTAACTACGAATTTATAGCTATTTTCATCCATGATCTTTAGAAATTGCTTTTTTGATCCTTATGGTTTTTATTTTGTTTCCTTTTTCGTCCTTCAAGATAATGACGTTAAAAAAGTCTGTCAAATGAAGGGCAATTCAGTCTTATCACCTTTAACTTATATTATTTTATTTTATTTTATTTTTAGAAAAAACCCCAACACGTGATTCTTCTTCCCATCCCTACCCTGCTCTCGTATAATAAAACCCCAAATTTAAGCATTTGTTTCCTTCGTCTTCTTCCACACCTTCCTCTTTTCCGACGTCATTTTGTTCAAACTCGAATCATGAAAACCAATTCCAAAAACTCAGTTATCAAATGCTTATACAGTTATATGGGTAACCACTTACTAAGTTATATTATCTTACCGGATGAATATGGTAAATACCAAAAATCAAAACGAGACAAAGACTGAGAGTCTTACCTGGTAAATGAGGGCAACGACTCTTACCACGGTCAGCTCTTACCGGGTAAATTGTTGCATAGAAAGTCATTTTTGTCGACTAAAATCTTACCCGGTAAGTAATTAATAATATTGAATTTAATAGTAAGTATTTACTGGATAAGTGTTTGGTAAATGGACCCTACACAAGTATTTACTGGATTTTTATTTCTTCTTAAATTTAAACCTGGGACCTCCTGTTACTTTTGACCTTTGGAGTCAAACTCAAACCAATCAGGCACCACCCTTGTGGTTTAACCCAATTCTTTTGTACAAAGGTAACAACAGTTACCATCTCCGCCAATAAAATCTTGTACTGATATTTTAGCTTAAAAAACTATATGATGGCAACCAACAAAACAATATACTGACGCCCTTCATAAATGTATTTTTTTTTCTCTTTATGATGGAACCATGAAATGGGTCCTGTGCCACTGTGTCCTATTTTGACCCACCTGTGGATTCAAGTAAAAAAAATATAATTCTAATATGAACATCTACAATAAGATCGAACAATCTAGGAGGTCAGAGGTTCAAACCTCACCAAATGTGAGAAAGATGTGTGAGTTTATTTGTTGCATTTGTCGTATATAAATATTATATACTTCAAAAATTCAGTTACATATGCATGTCATATAAACTCAATTTAGTTCAGTTTGTGAAAAATTGAGATATGATTGAATAAAGAATCATTCAAATTGGAAAAAGTTTTTGAAAAGAAGAATCATATTCTATTCCCCTTTTTTTTGTTACAATTTTGGATGTCACAACACCACCGACTTAGATAATGTTCGACAAACATAAGTTAGGTTATTTTTTGAGTTTATTACAGACGTCTCCTTTAAATGGATAAAAACTGGTTTATAAGAACCGCCATAAATCTTCAGTTTTTATCTGCGTGATTATTTTGTCAAGGAAAATTAATAGAAATAGTAATTTTCAGGCTTTGGATTCATCTATTAGCTATTTTTCTTTCAAATTTCAAAAATATATCTATCTCCGCAAATGATACCTCAATTTGCAGAGGATTCAAATGCAAAAAAAAAAAAAAAAAAATTAAACCAGGTCCGAAAGTGCAGAGACCAAGTATGTAAATTAGATAAAGGTCCGCAAGTGACCCTTCTGCCACTTACGAAAAATGTCGGAACTAATTTACAGATTTGGTCTTTGCATTTGCAGATGTGGTTTGGAAACTTTCTCTTCACTTTAACCACTTCGTAAGTTGATGAGTTGGTATGGTAATTGCAAATGTAGTGACATTTTTTGAAATATAGGAGAGAAATGATTATTTTAATTAATTTTTTTTATTAAATATTATATTATTATTATTATATATTGATTTTATATATGTAAAATATTAAATGAAGGTGTTGTACTTTGTGCAGCATTAAACGTACAACTGTCTTTTTCAGAACCTTTTCTGGATTCATTCAAAGAGGATCCTATGCATGTGTGCACCATTCACGCTCTAAATAATCCTCATAATTGCCATCATTATAAAAGGAGTTAAAATGGTAAGAAAAATCACGTTTGTCCTTTGTCCTAATAGTATGTGAGTCTTTGACTTTTTAGTAGGTCATGAGTTTAAACCTTATCAAATATAAAAAGAGTGTGTGAGTTTATTTGTTCTATTTTATTGTATATAAATATTATATACTTCAAAAAAAAAAAAAGGTAAGAAAATATTTGAACTTTTAATCATTTTAATATCATGTACATTCATGAATTAATCTTTAGAAGGGAATTGATCTATGCATCTCGGTGCATTTCATTAGTGTTGACATTTAATCATAATTGATCTAATGGTAGAGATCTCTTCTTAAGTTTCTCACCATAACTTCCTTTCTCTCCATAATTCAACCATATATATATTATATATCCAAAAGGGCGATTTTAGTAAATAACCAAAGATGCTATACTAACCC